TGCAGCAGGACGTCAAGACGCCGACCTTGAGCCAGAGCGTTTTGGGAAGAAAACGTTAAAATTTCCTCCCCTTCCGCTCAAAATCTGCCAATTCATAGCTTTTTTGACCCATTTTCACAGCTTTTCCGTGGTGCTTCATACTGTTTCCGCGGGGTTTTGTGCCTTTTCTGCCCCTTCTTACGCATTTTCTGTGCCGGTTTATGCCTTTTTCCGCCCATTTTTGCGGCGTCTTTCAGTATCGTTTTGCACCTTTTCCAACCCGTTTTCACAGTATTTTCTACGCCGTTTTCTCAGCGTCCCTCAGTGCCGTTTTGCGCCTTTTTTGCACCATTTTTGCCGCGTCTCCGAGCTGTTTCCGCGTTTTTTTTCTGTGCTGCTCTCGCCGCCTCTTAAAAGTTCATCGAAGCAGGGATTCACCCCCAATTTCAGCAGCAATTTTTGGAGGCACCGGGTAGCGACGCCGACTTTCCGTCGAACACAAAACATGAAAAACCCACCAATATGCCAGGAATCCCAATTATTAACATGCAAAAGGAGCCAAATAAGAGGAAAAACATCGATTAAACCATAAATATTTCAGTGGGATGTTCTCGAGCTTCACGCAAGAGAAAAGAGGTGGCGGAAAGAGGAGGAAAATGGCTAAAAATGGGTTTAAACATCACGGAATTTGCCGCTGGCAGCAATGAAGCAGGTGTCGTTTTAAGCTAAACCCCCTCAGTTTCAAAACTGACCCAAACCCACCCAAAACCGGGTGAAAATTGAACTCAGCACCAAAACGGAGCAAGGAAACCGCCTCCCCCCCGGCGCCGGCCACCAAACTGCATTTCCAAACGTGGCTTTTTGGGGAAAAACTACCCAAAATGCCGCTCGGGTGGTGATTTTTGTGATTTTTGCCGTCCTAAATTGGTTGAAACGAGCCCAAAACTGGGAGGATTTGGTGTCTTTTGGGATTTTTTACCAAAATAGGGTGGGTTTTGCCCCCGCCCCCCCCATCCAGGCTGCTGGTGGCGGCTGGTATTAAACGCCGCCGGTGAAGCCCCGATTGATGAAAAAACAGCAGAAAAAGGGGAAAAATCAAAAAGGGGGGAGGAATTGGGGGGGGGGAACATGTCATTTGACGGGAAACGCAAGTCGTCCCGGCGTAGCTAAAATCCCTGGGTTTGAACCCAAAAGGAGAGGCGCGCCGGGGACGGCACAAAGCCGTGGCTCCGGCGGCTGCGGCCGTGGTTGCTCC